TCTTTGTGTCTTCCTCAATTTCTTTCCTGAGTACCTTATAGTTTTCTGAGTACAGATTCTTTGCCTCTTTGGTTAGGTTTATTCCTAGGTATCTTATGGTTTTGGGTGCAATTGTAAATGGGAACAACTCCATAATTTCTTTCTTCTGTCTTGTTATTGGTGTATAGAAATGCAACTGATTTCTGTGCACTGATTTTATATCCTGATACATTACTGAATTCCTGTATGAGTTCTAGCAGTTTTGGAGTGGAGTCTTTTGGGTTTTCCACATAAAGTATCATATCATCTGCAAAGAGTGAGAGTTTAACTTCTTTGTTAATTCAGATGCCTTTTATCTCTTTTTGCTGTCTGATTGCTGAGGCTACGACTTCTAGTACTATGTTGAATAGCAGTGGTGATAGTGGACATCCCTGCCATGTTACTGACCTTAGGGGAAAAGCTCTCTGTTTTTCTCCATTGAGAATAATGTTCACTGTGAGTTTTTCATAGATGGTTTTGATGATATTGAGGTATGTACCTTCTATCCCTACACTGGGAAGAGTTTTGTTCAAGAAAGGATGCTGTACTTTGTCAAATGCTTTTTCAGCATCTATTGAGAGTATCATATGTTTCTTGTTCTTTCACTTATTAATGTACTGTATCACATTGATTTGTGGATGTTGAACCAACCTTGCATCCCAGGAATAAATCCCATTTGGTCATGGTGAATAATCCTTTTAATGTACCGTTGGATCCTATTGGCTAGTGTTTTTGTAAGAGTATACCAAAAATAAGGTTAAATACAATGAAGGGATAAAATAGGACTATAGCAATGAACATTTTAAAATATTTTTTAAAAGGTATCAATAAGATAAAATAGTTTAAAAATGTTAAAATAAGGGGCACCTGGGTGGCTCAGTGGGTTAAGCTGCTGCCTTCAGCTCAGGTCATGATCCCAGGATTCTGGATCGAGCCCCACATTGGGCTTTCTGCTCAGCAGGGAACCTGCTTTCCTTCCTCTGTCTGCCTGCCTGCCTCGCTGCCTACTTGTGATCTCTGTCTGTCAAATAAATAAAGTCTTTAAAAAAATGTTAAAATAAGAAAGAGGAAATAAGAATTTTAGAATAAATGTATAGGGGCACCCGGGTGGCTGAGTGGGTTAAAGCCTCTGCTTTCTTTTAAAAAAAAATTTTAGAATAAATTTATAAATTTATAAAAATATTTATAGACTATTTTTAAATTTAAAGTTTTAAATTAAAATTTTAATCAAGATTAAATTTTTTAAAACATTTTTAAATTTATTTTCAGCATAACAGTATTCATTGTTTTTGTACCACACCCAGTGCTCCATGCATTCCGTGCCCTCTCTAATACCCACCACCTGGTTCCCCCACCTCCCACCACCCCACCTCTTCAAACCCTTCAGATTGTTTTTCAGAGTCCATAGTCTCTCATTGCTCATCTCCCCTTCCAATTTCCCCCAACTCCCTTCTCCTAACTCCCCATGTCCTCCATGCTATTTGTTATGCTCCACAAATAAGTGAAACCATATGATAATTGAATCTCTCTGCTTGACTTATTTCACTCAGCATAATCTCTTCCAGTCCCGTCCATGTTGCTACAAAAGTTGGGGATTCATCCTTTCTGATGGATGCCTAATACTCCATAGTGTATATGGACCACATCTTCCTTATCCATTCGTCCGTTGAAGGGCATCTTGGTTCTTTCCACAGTTTGGTGACCGTGGCCATTGCTGCTATAAATATTGGGGTACAGATGGCCCTTCTTTTCACTACATCTGTATCTTTGGGGTCAATACCCAGTAGTGCAATTGCAGGGTCATAGGGAAGCTCTATTTTTAATTTCTTGAGGAATCTCCACACTGTTCTCCAAAGAGGCTGCAGCAACTTGCATTCCCACCAACAGTGTAAGAGGGTTCCCCTTTCTCCACATCCTCTCCAACACATGTTGTTTCCTGTCTTGCTAATTTTGGCCATTCTAACTGGTGTAAGGTGGTATCTCAATGTGGTTTTAATTTGAGTCTCCCTGATGGCTAGTGATGATGAACGTTTTTTCATGTGTCTGATAGCCATTTGTATGTCTTCATTGGAGAAGTGTCTGTTCATATCTTCTGCCCATTTTTTGATGTGATTATCTGTTTTTTGTGTGTTGAGTTTGAGGAGTTCTTTATAGATCCTGGATATCAACCTTTTGTCTGTACTGTCATTTGCAAATATCTTCTCCCATTCCATGGGTTGCCTCTTTGTTTTCTTGACTGTTTCCTTTGCTGTGCAGAAGCTTTTGATTTCTCATGAAAGAAATTGAAGAAGACACAAAAAGATGGAAGACCATTCCATGCTCTTGGATCGGAAGAATAAACATTGTTAAAATGTCTATACTGCTTAGAGCAATCTATACTTTTAATGCCATTCTGATCAAAATTCCACCAGTATTCTTCAAAGAGCTGGAACAAATAATCCAAAAATTTGTATGGAACCAGAAGAGACCCCAAATCGCTAAGGTAATGTTGAAAAACAAAAATAAAACTGGGGGCATCACGTTACCTGATTTCAAGCTTTACTACAAAGCTGTGATCACCAAGACAGCATGGTACTGGCATAAAAACAGACACATAGACCAGTGGAACAGAGTAGAGAGCCCAGATATGGACCCTCAACTCTATGGTCAGTTAATCTTCGACAAAACAGGAAAAAATATACAGTGGAAAAAAGACAGTCTCTTCAATAAATGGTGCTGGGAAAACTGGACAGCTATATGTAGAAGAATGAAACTCGACCATTCTCTTACACCGTACACAAAGATAAACTCAAAATGGATAAAAGACCTCAACGTGAGACAGGAATCCATCAGAATCCTAGAGGAGAACATAGGCAGTAACCTCTTCAATATCAGCCACAGCAACTTCTTTCAAGATATGTCTCCAAAGGCAAAGGAAACAAAAGCCAAAATAAACTTTTGGGACTTCATCAAAAAGATTAAATTTTTAATTAAATTTTTAGTTTTATTTTAAATTTTTTTATTATAAAATTTATAAACAGAATAAGAGGGGCTCCTGGGTGGCTCAATGGATTAAAGCCTCTGCCTTCAGCTCAGGTTATGATCCCAGGGTCCTGGGATCAAGCCCCACATCGGGCTCCCTGCTCTACAGGAAGCCTGCTTCCTCCTCTCTGTCTGCCTCTCTGCCTACTTGTGATCTCTGTCAAATAAATAAATAAATAAATCTTTATAAATAGAATAAGAAATAAGAGTAAGAAAAAAAATTTAAAAATTTAATTTTGAAAGACTATAGGATCATGGTGGGGGAAAGCCATGAATTCTATGTGTTGCTTTCCCCTAGCTCTGAAGTTCTGAGGTTCTCATTGATCTGTGAACTTGGTCTTGGCTGGGCATTCTTGCTGATCTTCTGGGGGAGGAGCCTAGTGCCATGATTTTCAAATGTCTTTGCCTGAGGTGGAACTGCACCGCCCTTGCTAGGGGCCAGGCTGAGCGATCTGCTCGGGTTTGTGCTCAGGAGCTTTTGTTCCCTGAATACTTTCTGTAGAGCTCTGGAGGACCAGAATGAAGATGGCAGTCTCCCAGTCTCCAGGCTGGAGGAGCCGAGAGCTCAGGGGCCCGCTCTTCAGTGCACCCTCAGAGAAAAGCTGTCAGTCCCTCCCAGCTCCCTGGTCTCTGGCCGCGCTCCAAGCTCACCCGTCCTGTGACTGAGCGTTTCTGTCTCTGGCGCGTGGCCCCGTTTGGAGTCTCCAAACCCAGCAGATTCCTGCCACGCACTCTGCAATGCTCCAGAGGAGGAAGGAAGGGGTCTCCCTGGATCTGCCACATGTGGGGTCCTTGCTTAAAGAGCAGTGGCCCAACTGTCCCTTGGATCATGGTTTAAGTAACCCCGAGCTAAGAGCCTCTCCTCGGCTCCATCTCTGCAGCAGCTTCCCTGCTCCGATACCTAGGGGATTTGCCACACTCAGGCACCCCTGGTCTTTCTGTGACCTCATAGGACCTGAGACCACACTGTTCCTGTGAGGGCTACACCCTCCCCCCACTTAGCCTCTGGAGTGATGTCCTCAGTGGAGCAGACTTGTACAAGTTCCGATTTTGTGCTCTGCTACTCCACAGCTTGCCGGGAGCTGGCCCTTCCCCCACGGTCTATCTTCAGTCACTTCAGATTCACTTCTCTGTATGTTGTACCTTCTGGAAAGTGGTTGATTTTCTGTTCATAGAATTGCTGCTCTTCTCTTCAATCTCCTGTTGGCTTTGTAGGTGTTCAGAATGGTTTGGTAACTATCTAGCTGGACTTATGAGACCTGATGTCATCTCAGTCTCCTACTCCACTATCTTGCTTCTCCTCTCTGAGATGTTGTCAACTGAAGACTGTTCTGTAATCAAGGTCCATAAACATTCTAAAATGACAACATGTCAGGTTGTTCTAGAGAGCCAAAGTGGGTAGATTTCATTAGCTCATTTGTATAGCTAATTTACGAAAAACAGATGATCTGCTAGGTCCAGGAGATGGATCTGTGAGGACTCACTACCTACCCTCAGATTTGCATACTCTCAAAAGGGCCCCAGACTCCCAAAATGGGAATCACTGTGTCAAGGCAAAAACTAAGGGAGTCGTGAGTGAATTTTTCCTCTTCAGGGGAGTTGGTTTCCAAAGCAGCAGGCTGGGCAGTGAGAATTGCCAAGTTCCTGGCACAGAAGCAACCAGTGTTCTAGACAGGAGTACCCATTCATGGTCTCTTCTTTCTTCGTTGATTCTTCTTTAATTCCTGAAGCTCAGATATCTCATGCAGGACGAGATGGAACCTTCTGCACAGCTGGGTTTCAGCCTGCAGCCCCTCTTGGAGCAGCTCAGCCAGGATGAGCTGAGCTAGTTCAAATCTCTGTTGAGGTCCCTTTCCCCGCAAGAGGAGTTACAGCACATCCCTGTGACAGAAGTAGAGGAAGCTGATGGGAAGCAACTGGCAGAAATTCTCACCAACTGCTGCCCCAGCCACTGGGTAGAGATGGTGACCATCCAGGTCTTTGACAAGATGAACCGAACAGATCTGTCTGAGAGAGCAAAGGATGAGCTCATGGGTAAGTAGAAACTAGCCCACAAGGTGTCCCAGGAGGAAGGAGGAATAGCCTCCAGAGTTTTACATGTGTAGGAATAACACTGAGCCTTGGAGAGGCCACCTGTCCTGAACCCAAGTGCTAGACTTTCCTAAAGTCTGGTGGTATCTCTCATTGTAGCTATTTCTACTCTACCCCGGGATTGTATACCTTCCCTGGCCACCTCAGTCTGTATCCCTTCTCTCATCCAAGACTGTTCCTTGAGTATATTCCGGATCCCATTCTCTCACACATTCAAGGTGTTAAATTATTACACACCCTCTGGTTTTCAGCTCCCACTCATGTTTCCTTCCACACACTCACAGAGGCAAACCCCTACCTTCCCTTCGATCAGCATCACTAACAGCATTTGGGGCTGGGTGAGGAGACCTCTTTTGTATTGCACAATATTTAGCTGTACCCTTGGGACCCCAGTGCTAGCGTCCCAGCACCTCTACCCGTTAGATGCTAGCAGCACACACCTCTCACTTGAAACAACCAAAGATGTCTCTAGACACTGCCCAGTGTCCCCTAAGTGGAGCACTGAGTTTTAGGTCAGCGGTTGTCAGCTTTCACTCTTCTGGGCAGTCCTCTCAGGAGCTTCAATATGCTGATGTCCAGAACCAATCACCAGAGACTTTGAGCTAAATGATCTGTGTCTCCCCCAGATGTGGATTTCTTGAAAGCTTACAACCTGAGGGTTTTGAAGGGGCAGGGGGTGGGAAGTTGGGGGAACCAGGTGGTGGGTATTAGAGAGGGCAAGGATTGCATGGAGCACTGGGTGTGGTGCAAAAACAATGAATACTGTTACGCTGAAAAGAAATTAAAAAAAATTGTGAAAGTCAGTTGTACTTCTTTAGACCTTTCATTATGTGGCTACTAGAAAATACAAAGTTACATAGGTGAGAGGTGTTATATTTGTTTTGGAGAGCACGCTGCTCTAGAGAATATTTTCTCTCTTGTTCTTCGGCAAGGGTATTCAAAGGCTCTTCCTTACCTACCATTTTCTTTTTCCTTAAAAATGGCCTGGTTTATTCCATCTAGAGATCTGTTTTTAGCTTACTGTTCCTGGTCTTCAATGGACAGGGGAGGGTTTTCACTCCCAGCTGGCCTCTGGAGATTATAAATTTGGAAATAGCATGAAGAAACCCCAAGCTGAGCAGCTAAAAGGGTCTGGCTCTGAAAAGTGTGGGTTTTCCCACCTCCTCCTCTTCCAGAAGCAGCTGTGGAGTCTCTCGGAACAAGCCTCCAGCATTAGATAAGCTACCTCGTTTACTTCTTATGTGAGACTTTGGAATTCAGGGGCATGTTTTAATTAGACAAGACATGGTGCTGAGCACTAAGAATTCAAGGAAAGCCAAGCCCTTCTCTCTGCAGCCATCCCAGTGGGTGAGGAGGGAGACCAGGGGAGCTCCATGAGCCGGTATTTATACCAGAAGTTAGTAAATGCACACAGAAGCAGGAAGGCAAGAGCTTTCCTTGGAATCTGGACAGGCTGGATTTTAGCATGACCTACAGCAAGGGCTGGCCAACCAGACTCCCAGACCAGGTCCAGCCTGCCAGTACTTTTGACCTTCCCACAAGCTAAGAACTGTTCTTCTATTTTTAAATGGTTGGGAGGATCAAAAGACTGCCTTACAGCCTATGAAAATCATAGGAAACTCAAACTTCAGTATTCATAAATGAAGTTTTCTTTGCATGTGGCATGCTTATTTGCTCATATGTTACCTATGACAGCTTTTGCCCTACAAGGTCAGAGATGAGTGGTGTGGCCTGAAAAGCAGAAAATATTTACTGTCTGGCCCTTTGCAGGAACTAGAAAATTAAGTTTGCTAACCCCAGCCAAAAGGATTTTTGAGTTAGTGATTATGAACTTTCTTCCCTCTCCATATCCCAAATCACCAGTATCCTTAGTGATAAGACTTGGGCTCAAGGCAATAGTAAATGGGAGTGTGGTTTGAAGCGCAAAGGCACAACCATTGATAATCTCAACCTAGATGTCCTGACTTCTTCTATCAATACACAAGTGCCAAAGGGTTCTACAATGATGACCTAACCAAATGTCAGAAGGAGACTGGTGGTCCATCAGATCTCACACTTGACAATCCTACCAAGTAGGTGTTCATTCCAGTAAGTGTTCAGACTAAAAGCATGGAGAATTCTTTATTCAGAATCCTGCTCTTGGCTTTTATGACCTTGTTGCCTTTGCTCTGTGGCTTGTTGAGGATTGTTTTTTCTTCCGTTCTTTCAGAATTCTTGTTCTTCTGCCTCATCTTCAAAAGGAATGACTGGCTGGCCATTTTCTCACTCAGCATCCTGGTCCTGGTTGATACCCTTGGAATCTTACTGGCTATTTATGTCCTGATGCCTTTGCAAAGGCTACATTTACACCAGCATTTCCCCTGAACTTTAGATGCCCGCAGCCAACTACCTCCTGGGAATCTCTTCAGAACTCTCCCAGACTCACCACTTCTTTATCCAGTGTTGAGCTTATAGTACTCCCTCTCCCATCAGGACTCCACCGTCTTCCTACATCCCCTCCCAGGACAGTTTGGTTTTATCTACCTCATCAGGAACCAGAGAGTTAATCCATGAAAGCTTTGTGATGGCCTCAAGACAGAGCAAGGGTGCACACGTGTTCATTTCTCTCACTGCGTGAACTTGACTGGAGCCTTCTGGGACAAATCCACCATGATGAGCACTCTAGGACGCGAAGCCTTCTTGAACACCACCCCCCCCCCACAGTCACAGTCTTTCCTTTTGTTTAACTACACCCCTGCATATACCCTCAGGGCATAATGTCCTTGACCTGCTCTAGAGCTAGGACTGTGGCGCACACCCATTCTTACTCTCCTCGGGGTAGACCCCCACTAGCACTCCCAGCCTCTAGGGCTATGGAGGCAGGGTCTTGGAGATCAGCTTGTCTTGCAGCTACCAAATACATACTTCTGTCCCCTTATTAAACCATTTCTTGGGGCCACCTGCGTGGCTCAGATAAGTGTCTTCCTTCAGCTCAGGGTCCTGGAATAGAGCCCCATGTCAGGCTTCCTACTCAGTGGGGAGTTTGTGTCTCTCCCTTTCCCTCTGCCTGCTGCTCCCCTACTTGTGCTCTTTCTCTATCAAATAAATAAAATCTTTAAATAACCATTTGTTGTCAGGCTGGACTGGTCAGCCTTTTTCTTCAATCTTACGGCTCCTTGGGTCTTTGGAGATGGTTGTGCATACAACGTCCTCCCATGAGACAGTCACTGTGTGTTCTCAACCACATAGGAAGCCAGAAAAGGCACGTAAGCCCAAGATTGTGGCCTGACACACTTCAATCTTCTCTCCCATAGCATGTTAAGGTCCTTTTTATGTCATCTGGGTTTATGTATGAGACACAGTTGTCAAACATAAGTCTTCTTGAAGTCCCACCCCTCTCCCCAGGCAAAAGTCTCAATAGAGAAGCCTATAATGGCCCCTCTTTTCTCAGGGTTCACCAGGACTCCAGAACCAAAATGTGCAAACTTGGAAGAAACCCAACAGTATGCAGAAGGAAAGGAGCCGGTTGGTCAGTGTTGGAGCAAGCCAAGCCACAACTACTGCATCCTGTTCTGTCCTCTGCACCCTCCTTTTGTGAGCTCCATCTCCCCCCACCTCCTTTCCTCCATGGTTTATAATCCCCAATAGACTCACAGAAAATGCCTTCCTCCCTCACTTAGGAACAAAACAGGAAAAGGACCCTTGGAAAGAACTGAATTTCTTCAGTTCACAGAAAATTAGTGTACTGTATGGAGTTTCTCTTCAATTTTTCAATTTCAGTTGCTCAGACTTTAGGAAACTCAACTCCCAGATGAGAAAGTTGAGATGCGCTGTATATACATCCAGCACTCTGGTCCCTTAACATCACTGAGTGGCTAAAGTCAGCTGGGTAGTATTGTTTGTTAATGGCTCTGGTAAAGTACAATCTGCGTATCCATAAATTTCATTCAAATGTGCTTCTACTAACTTTCAGTAAACCTACAGAATTTCCCAACCATCACCACTATCCAATTTTACAACATGGACATCACCCCCAGAAAGTTCCCTTGTGTCCACACGTGGTCACTCCCTAGTCTCTGTCCGCCAGCTCCGGGCAACCATTATGTTATTGTGTCTCTCTAGATTTGGCTTTTCTGGACACATGGTCTTTCCTGTCTGTCTTTCATCACTTACCATAATGTTTTTGAGGTTTGTCCCCATTGTTGAGTATGTCACTGACTTGCCATCCCTTTTTATTACAGAATGATACTCCATGGTGTGGCTATGCCACACTTGATTGTCCATTCGTTGATGGATGGATGGATATCTGGATTTTTTCTACTTTCTGGCTGCGTTGCATCATGCTGCTATGAACCTTGGTGGGCTAGTCTTGACATACGCACATTTTCACTTACCTTGGGCAGATTCTCAGGAACCGTATGGCATTCTACACAGGCATGACATCATTGCTTACTCAGAAAATGGAGCAGCTGTACTGGGTTGGGCTGTATGGAGGTCTGTCTCCTGATGCCCTGGTGTGTGGTCTAGACCAGCGGGAAAGATGCACGAGTAGCTTCAATGGATCGCATTGAGTTTTGACAGAGCAACTCGAAAAAATATTTCTTGTTATGGGTCTAGAGAGGACAGGCAGGAAACTTGGTTTAGAAGGTCATTTGCTCTGTTCCTCTCTATAAACCCGGCCTTTGCACCTCCCAGCACATGATATGGACAGAGATTAGATTCTGTGCTCCTTGGATCCGCTTTAACACTGTATTTCTGGTAAAAGAAATTCACGTGTCTTTGTGTCAAGCTCATTTTTAATTTGTATTTTGCAGCACTTACTCAAGTACAGGGAGAAGATGTCCCAAACCCAGAAGCGGCAAAGGAAGTTTTGGAAGGAGAAAAGCCAGGTCTGTATCCTGTCTTCCTGGACGAGCCTGGTGTCAGGCCATTCTTTTTTGTCTTTTTCCTACCTAACACAAAGTATCTTTTTTTTCCTAATGAATAACCAGCTATGTCCTTCCTATCCCCTACCTCCAATCACTAAAGGTAAACAGGATAAATACAGAAGCGTTTTGAAAGAGAAGGTCCAGCAAATCTGGAAGAACTTTTGGCCTGGAGCCCGTGAGAACATTCACATGGTCACCCAAAGATATGAGACACAGATTCCATTCTGTAATCCTAAAATGCTCGGAGGGCCATTTCCGCACACGGTGGTGCTGCACGGTCCGGCGGGCGTGGGGAAGACCACTCTGGCCAAGAAGTGCATGCTGGACTGGACGCAGGACAGCCTAGCGCACACCCGCCCCGTTGCCTTCTGTCTCAGCGGCAAGGTGCTCAGCCGCAAGGCGACTTGCTCCTTCGCAGAGCTGCTGGCCGAGAGCGCCCCAGACCTGCAGCGCGCCCTTCCGCAGGTCCTGGCCCAGGCGCACAAGCTCCTGCTGGTCATTGACGCTTTCGAGGAGCTGCGCGTGCCCTGGGGCACAGGCAAGCTGGTGCACGACCTGGGGGGCGACTGGAGGACGCGGAGGCCTACGCCGGTCCTCCTGGGCAGCCTGCTGAAGAGAAAGCTCTTCCCCACGGCCACTCTGCTGGTCACCACGCGGCCCGAGGCCCTGAGGGAACTGCGGCTCCTGGTGCAGCAGCCGCTCTTGGTGGAGATGGAGGGGCTCTCCGAGCGCGACAGGAGGGCGTATTTCCTGCGACACTTGGGAGAGGAGGCTCAGGCGCTGCGCGCTTTCCAGCTGATGAGAAGCAACGCGGCGCTGTTCCGCATGGGCGCGGCGCCCGCCGTGTGCTGGATGGCGTGCACCTGCCTGAGGCTGCTGATGGCCGAGGGCGCGGACCCCCGGCCCACCTGCCGGACCGCCACGTCCCTGCTGCTGCGCTTCCTCTGCAGCCGGTTTGCGCCTGTGCGGGGCCAAGGCCCGGGTCCGCACCTAGCGGCTGCCCTGCAAGTCCTGTGCCTGCTGGCCGCCGAGGGCACATGGGCGCAGACCTCGGCGTTCGACGGACTCGACCTGCGCAGGCTGGGGGTGCACGAGTCTGACCTGCGCCCTTTCCTGGACCGGGGCATCCTCCAGAAGGACGGAGACACTGGGGGCTGCTACCGCTTCGTCCACCTGAGCGTCCAGCACTTCCTGGCCGCTGCGCTCTGCGTCCTGGGGAGCGAGGGCCGCCAAGATGCAGGGAGCCCCACCTGGCACGCTGGGGCTGTGCAGAGGCTGCTCTCCAAGGAAGAAGGCCTCAAGAACCCCTACCTGGCCCCCGTGGGGCGCTTCCTGTTCGGCCTCGCCAATGAAAAGAGGGCCAGGGAGCTGGGGACAACCTTTGGCTGCCCAGTGTCCACTGAGTTCAAGCGGGAGCTACTGGAATGCACAGTGCGGTCCCCTGAACACAGACCCTTCTCCTCGGTGACAGACACGAAGGAGACCTTGTATTGTCTCTACGAATCCCAGGAGGAGCAGTTTGTGAAGGAGGCCATGGCCCAGGTCACGGAAGTGTCCCTGCATTTGGAAGATACCTCGGACCTGGTGCACGCATCGTTCTGCCTCAAGCATTGTGACCACTTGCAGAAAATGTGGCTGCGGGTGGCAAAGGGGACGTTCCTGGAGAACGATACCGCATGGGGATCAGAGGCTCAGGCTGACGGGTAAGGACCTGCCCTGTTCACCCTGGTAGTGCCCGGGTTTCTGCCTCATGCCCCACTCCAGTAGCAGCAGGGCAGAGTGTCCTCCCTGTGGCTTAGGGTCAGAATTTTCTTCTTACCAGAACTGCTTCTGCCAGCTTGCCCTTCAAGGTGCGGAGTACGGTGCTCAGATTAAGGATGGGGACTTTGAACCAGACCTTGTTTTGAGACCTGTGTCCTTTTGTCTCCAGCTGAGCAATGTTTGCACATGGCTCGACCTCACTTCAGTCCTCGTGTTGGTTGTCTAGGTTGCCCCTCTGTATGGGGTTGTCCTGTTTAGCATGACAGATGGAAAGGCATTAAAGGTGGACAGTCAGAGGCTGATTCAACGAGGTTCTGAAAGCTTCCCCCCATCCACGATCATGGGCACGTCACCTAACGCAACTGACACAATGAGATGACCCCAGGCAGTCATGAGACGTTGTTATTCTTGATGCAGCCTCAGGTAACATCAGTTGAGCTCTTACGGCATTTCCAAATACGATTTATCCCCTGGTGGCTACTTGCAATCTTTCCTGTTGAGGTGAAGATCCTGGTTTCATTAAAGGGTGTTTGAGTGGGATTAGAACTCCAGTCTGCTGGTTTATGAAGTGCCCCTCCCCCATCACAATCCAAGCTCACTGCTCATGGTCCTGTGTAGGGCCCACCAGACACATACTGATACTTACCTTATCAGCCTGCCTCTTCCTCAACCCTAGGTTGTCATCAGAAATGTAGTATCTGAAATCCTCGTGCATATTCACGGGGCCAGAATCAAACGCCCCCCCTTGCTTTCCTGGTGGAGGCGTCTGTTTTACACATCCCCTTCACTTGCCCTCCCACTCCTTCCCCATGTAGCAGAGAGTCGTGAACTCGAGTCACCTCAGGGAGCGTCAGGACCCTGACGGCTGGGCTGGAACATTTCTCCACCTCGAAGATCACCGGCACTCACAGACCCCATTGGTTAAGTTCTTTATTGTAATTCCAGTCCAGCTGACATACAGTGTCATACTAGTTACCCCGATACAATATAGTGACTCAGCAGGTCTACACAACACTCGGTGCTCATCGTGATGACCGTACTCTCAATCACCATCATCCATTTTACACATCTCCTACCACCCCCCTGCTGGTAACCATCAGTTTGCTCTTTTTAGTGGAGAGTCTGTTTTCGCTTTGTGTCTTCCTCTTCTTCCCCACCCCCACCATTGCCCATTTGTTCTGTTTCTTAAATTCCACATATGAGTGAAATCCTGTGATATTTGTCCTTCTCTGACCGGCACAGGTGGCCTCCTGTTACACACTGTAGCCGCAGTCATGTCTTGGCAGAAGGCAGGCTTTCGTTCTTTTTAATGCCTGAGTAATATTCCATTGATTATATATACTACATCTTTATCCGTCAGAGGTCACTTGGGCAGCTTCTCTAACTTTGCTTTTGGAGATAATGCTGTGATAAACATAGAGATGCGTGCATTCCTTTGAACTGGTGTTTCCCTTTGTCTGTGTCCTGACTTTGTTTCTTCTCTCATCCAAGTGTTTATACAGGCCTACATGCTGGTTTACCTAAATCTTTCTTCTGCAGGAGGGTCATCAAAGAGCTGCTTTGAATGCAAATGAGATTGCATGAATAGCCTCCTATCTCATCCAAGATCCCAAGTCAAAATAGTATTTATTTTTTTTATTATGTTATGTTAGTCACCATACAGTATGTCATTAGTTTTTGATGTAACGTTCCATGATTCATTGTTTGCGTATAACACCCAGTGCTCCTGCAATCCGTGCCCTCCTTAATACCCACCACCAGGCTCACCCAGCCACCCCCCTCCCCTCTGAAACCCTCAGAGTCCATAGTCTCTCATGATATGTCTCCCCTTCTGATTCTCACCCCCTATTTCATATCTCCCTTCCTTCTCCTAATGTCCTCTGTGTTATTCCTTATGCTCCACAAGTAAGTGAAACCATATGACAATTGACTCTCTCTGCTTGACTTATTTCACTCAGCATAATCTCCTCCAGTCCCGTCCATGTTAATACAAAAGTTGGGTATTCATCTTTTCCAATGGCTGAGTGATAGTCCATTGTATATATGGACCACACCTTCTTTACCCATTCATCTGTTGAAGGGCATCTTGGCTCTTCCACAGTTTGGCTATTGTGGACATTGCTGCTATGAAGATTGGAGTACATACAGCCCTTCTTTTCACATATATATCTTTGGGATAAATACCCAGTAGTATAATTGCTGGGTCACAGGGTAGCTCTATTTTTAATTTTTTGAGGACCCTCTTTTTTCTTCTTAACCTTGGTTTAGTTAAAACCAACAATAGAGCCAACATGAACACTGCAGGTAATTAACCACAGCTGGACTGCTTGGTTCTTGGAGCCCCCATCTGAGAAGAAGGCAATGGATGTCTTTAGGTGTGATTACAATCATTCTGATCTGAAACACAAACGGATGCTTTCCATGAACGTTCTTTTCAGGTACCTTTTGCCACTTTCCCTTCTGTCCTGCTCATCACAGCAGGTCCATAGCATTGCTGGTCTGTAACTCCGGGGCACTTAAATCACAGGCTGCCTTCAGTCAGACCACTTCCTCCAGTAGCACAGTGGGGACGAGCCCATGTTCTACACAACAGCTTGATTATCTTCCCTTGATAAGACCATTGCACTAACCCTACACAGCCTCAGATGTCTTTCCCCAGAGCATATAGACCATGCTCTTTGAAAGTCACAAACTAGGTTTCTAAAGGCTTGTTGTCCTCCTCATGTTGCTTCAAGTTCTGCAATGAGGACATTAATTTTAAATATATCTTTCATCGAGGCAAGTACCACTAATAAAACCAAAGGTAAAACCTCAACCTAAAGCAGCCAGGCATGCTACAGCTGACAGAACCTAAGTTCTATCTGGCTTCTTTCTTCCCCTATTTCAAACCACAGAATGTCTACTTTGTGTAGGACTTGCTATTCCGTCAAGTCTACTAATGGAGCTTCTTGCCTTTAGAAACCACTTATTTCTTCTCTAAGCTCTTTTGAATCTTAGGAAGATACTCACGTTGACTCAAATTTACTCTCCCATTAGTGCCTTTGGAAGGGTATCCCCCAAAACACGGTCTTGTGTAGCCTTGCCCTTCTCTAGGAAAAAGGACAATTGTCCTTCAGAAGATAGGGTGACATGAGTGACCAGCCTCACCAGGCTTGAGGGAGAGTGGAAGATAAGAGGTTAATTATTCAGATAAATGTTTATGCCCTGGAAACCGGCCACCTTGATTTGAAAGCAGCCAAGCCCAGTTATAGGCTGAAGTATGGAAGATGGTAGGAGGCAACGAAGGTGCTGGGTCTTACTGTTTGACTTGGAGCTTTCTCTCTGTTACGGCTCTGTTACTGTGATGATGTGGGGCGAGTTAGATGCTTTCTGGGCTTCCTTTCCATTATCTTCAGGTAAGCACTGGACCTACTTCAAAGTAGTATTTTTAAATGACTAATTCTAAAATTATTCAAGGTTCCTAGCATATAGGAGTTTAAATTCCAGCTTCAACTTTCATTTACACTTTTCTCTCTGTTAGTATATTTATGTGCTGGTTACTCTTATTCCTTGCACACTCGTACCTTCAATTTTCTCCACAAAAACCTCCAAATATTCGATTACACTTAGGTCCCATAGTATTTCCCCATCAATAACTAAAACGTTTCAACTTTCTGACACATCATGGCTTCAAGAGTTTGTACTGTTTTCCTGAAAATCAATATTTTTCTGATTGCAAAGATCCCATACATTAATAGAAAATTAAAGCAATACTGAAAAGGATAAAGAAATCATATCACCTACACCAACCCTACGCCCAGAAGCAACCACAGAACAAAACAAACATTCTCTTAAGTCTGTGATTACATCTTCTCAAGTTTTTATGGACATTTTAGGTTACAAATACAGTTGTAAATTAGATTGAGAATATCATGCATATGGATACACCATCTGACATTCAGACCTCTGACACGCATATCGCTCTTTTTTTAATCAATGGTGTATATTGTTTTTAATTTTGTATCAATGATCTTAGACTTTTGGTTTTTTCTAAACCTCTGTTAGATTATTGTGCAAGAAGTTTGAGTTCTGGGTAAAGTGGCTCAGTCAGTTAAGCATCTGACTTCGGCTCAGGTCATGATCTTGGGGTCCTGGGATGGAGCCAGAGTCGGGCTCCATCCAGGAAGTCTGTCCCTCTCCCTATGCCCCCCCCCTACCCCCCCCACTCCTGCTTGTTCACTCGCACTCTCTCTCTCAAATAAAAAATCTAAAAAAAAAAAAAGGCAAGCAAGCTTGAGTTTTCTCCAGTGACCTGTCTCAGGTGATGACTTGTCTGACAGTGATGCTAAGTGATTCAACCATCTGACTTTAGAGCTCTGCCTGTTTATTGGGGTATATACTGGGAGCAGCCCTCCCTAAATAGCTTCACAATGAGGGACCCGTGGTCGTTTTCTCTCCAGCAGTACTCGGTAAATTCCCTCCTTTGCCTCTTCCCAACAGGTTCCAGAATGATCAGTATGTTCTTCCTTTCTGGATGGATCTTCTTTCTGTGTTTGACTCAAACAAGAGTCTGGTGTTTCTAGACATCAGTCAGAGCTTCCTCAGTACCTCATCCGTGAAGCTGCTTTGTGAAAAAATAGACTCCGCTCCCCATAATCTTCAGAAAGTAGTGTAAGTAGACGCTAACCCCGGATTAAAACCCCTAGGGCATAACCAGGTTCCTTACATTTTTCACATTGGAGTAATATTTGAATCCCTTTCCCAAAGTCCAACTGGGTACTCAAGACATGAGGAATTGAGACCGTCCATACCTTACACTTGTCTACTGAATCGTATGAAGTAACTTTTTCCAATTTTTTTATTGTGGTATAACATAAAACTTATCATCTTAACCATTCTCGACTTCACCGTGATGGATTTTTAAATGTGTAAGTATGCGACAACCACCACCATTCATCTCCAGGACACTTCATCTTGCAAAACTGAAACTCTGTCCCCCGTTAAACAATAATTCCCCGTGGTCCCTTCTCCCCAGCCCCAGGTGATTTTAACACAATGTGAAATAGGATTTGGATGTCCACGAAACTCCATGACGACCATCCAGATCCTGGGGGCAGCTTCAATCCCATTAGACAACCATAGGGCTGTGCATAGAACAGAATTCTCAACCTCTGCAGACAGTGGGGTTGGGCTTTCCTGTGCATCATAGGATTTTAGCAGCAGCCCTGGCCTCTATCTTCCAGACGCCGATGGTACCCACACCCCCGCCTCCAACTGTGATGACCTAAAATGTCTCCAGACATTGCCAGGTGTCCCTAGGGGATGCAAAATCACCCATGCCTGGGAGCATTGTTGGAGTGATGGTATCAGTGTGCTGAGACAGACCTGTGACCTGGGCTGGGTATATGTCTGAATCTGATCCAAAAATCTAGAAGCTGAATGAAGTTGGGAAGAAATAAGGGGGGCTCAGAAGCACCAGAAAAAAGTAATTACACAAGTTAAATACTCGTAGTCAGAATAGAGTGTGGTCCTGTCTGCCTGTGACAACACCTCAGAGTCTTCCTGTGGGCACCCCCTTGCAGCTCGTGTGCTGGGAAAGTCCTGGAAGCTTACACATGGGCAGGTTGTGGGGGGAGGTTTAGGGAAGGAGAGCAAACATGAGTTAGTCTGCAAAGTGGGCTCTGGTACCAGCAAGACATTCTCCAAATGAAGGCATCCTCGTTCACAGGTTTCTTTGTCAACATAGAGAAAAAAGAGTCTCTTCTGCTCACTTAGGGTCGTGCCAGCCATGTGATCCTGATTCTACACGTGAGATGTTGAGCAGGACACAGTGTTCCTGAAACTTTCCCATGGTAACACTTGAGAGGAACAAGCTACTACCCTTCCTTATCTCTTTCAAAAAGCCACAGAACAGCTTTCCTCCAAAACAACTGTTGAGGACCAACTTCCCTTTTGCAGAAGTCTGAGAGGACTAAAGAAACAGGGGCTTCCGGGAGTTCCTAAAATTAGATGTTTGTCAAGCCGTACAAAGTTTCAGTTAGTGCAAAATGGGTGAGTTCTGGGGACGTAACCTCACCAATGTGACAACAGTTAACAAAACTGCAAGGTATACTTGAAACTTGCTAAGAGACCTGATCTCCAGTGTTCTTGCCACAGAAAAAAAGAGAGAAAATGGTGACTACGTGAACTGAGAGGTATATTCACTAGCTTGTTTGTGGTGATGATTTCACAAGGTAGGAGTATATCAAAATATTAAGTTGTGTACCTTCATATATACAGTTTCTTGACCACACCTCACTGGAAGTGAAAAATAGGAACAAAGTTCCCAGTGTTTAAACCTATTGTGGCCCTTTGTTCCCATGTATGTAGAAATGCAAGATTTCACCTTTCTTGTCATTTCTCTAGCCTCAAAAACACTTTCCCAGCGGACACCTATCGGAACTTCTGTGTTGTTTTTTGTGGTCATGAGACTCTCACGCATCTGACCCTTCAAGGAAATGACCAGAGTGATATGCTGCCCGTATTGTGTGAGATCCTGACACACCCACAGTGTAACCTGCAATACCTCAGGTACACCCCATTCTCCCTGAGAACCCCTTGCATGTGCACAGAGATGCCACAAGACTGTAGAGCAATTCTGTATAAATTGGGGGGAAATCCCTTATTCTGGTCCAAAGCGGTGCTACTCCGGGCACGTGCCTCACAACAGAAAGTGGGCTGGAGTTTAGTTTCCACTTGTACTGATCACTGAACAACCTGGACAACCATCCATAGTAGTCCAACAAAACACTCTGGAACTGGATACCACCCTCAATCAGAGAGAATATGTTTGTGGTTTATGTTTCTCCGATGTCAAGGTTCAGAATACCAGATTCTGTCCAGATTCATCTGTCCAGGCAAGGATGCATTGACAGCACCAGGTTTTCCCTTTCTTGGTAGTCCTCTGGGTTGAGAGATCTCCCTTTGGGATGTTCTCCACCTGATTGCTCTGGTGAGGGTTTCCATCACTCATCCTGGGGTGCCCTTGATCCTCACTGGGCCACACTTGAGTCGTAATAGGAACACAGTTCAAGGCGATCTGTTGGTCTCTGATTGTGGTTCTGCCTCTACCGTTACGATCTAGGGCTATTCAGCCAGGTCTTACCCCATCTGCAGGATGGGGAATGCGCATCTCTCACGGATTTGAGGACTAAGACTGAGTCCAAGCACACATATGCTCACTGTTACATTATTGATAATAGCTGTTGCCAAATTGACCATTGATAATGACGTTCCCTTCTTTTTCCTGTGAGGATTCACCAGGAAAAGAAAGTGTGCAGTTTGAACACTTGGGGTATTAACTTGCTTCTCGAGGAGTAAATGGGTGCCCCAAAACGGAAGGAGGGGATTCCAGAAAAATTTGTTTCATTGCGTGGAGCGCTGGGTGTGGTGCATCAACAATGAATCTTGGAACACTGAAAAAATTAAATTTTAAAAAATTGTTTTACTTTATGGGAAGCCATTAAACAATCTACTTTGGGAAAAAAAAAATTCTACTTTGTGTTCCAATGCCCAGGTTAACTTCGGTTCCTCTATTATAGGTTAGGCTCTAAGAAAAGGAAGTGTTCTGTTGACTTTTACTTATGTTTAGTTATAGGGTACACAGTGCACTTCAGACTTCAGGCGAATTATCAACTTTAATGAATGCTCAGCATGAGGGTATGACTTATTTCCAATTTAAAGATGGAAATGAGGTTTGATGAAGTTACGTAACTTGGCCACATTTGCATGTACAGTAAATGGCAGATCTGGGATGTTTTACTATTTTTTTAGAAACCCCACTCCAAAGACCATGATACACATAATGTCCCAACGGAATTCCATTCTCCATGGTAAGAACGCTCTCTCCGGATAGAGTGTGGGTCCCTTGCTGGCTGAAATGCTTGGCTGACCGGATGTCTAGAGTAGTTCTCCACATGTGGTCTCCACGCTAGTGGCAGCTGTATGGCTTAGGAACTTGATAAAACCCAAATTCTCGGGTCTGACTCAGATCCTCTGAACCATCGTCTGAGGGTGTGGCCCAAGAGTCTTCCGGGTGATATAGGACACCCCAAAACCGAAGCCGGTGGATTCTGCACCCAGAGTTTCTGATTTGCATTTCTGACGGCCCGCCGGGTGATGCAGATGCCGCTGGGCCAGGGACCACACTCCGCATCCTCTAGTCCAGGACCTGACATAATGGGGAACGAGGGGCGGGAGTGGAGACCGTCCTCCAATGTTTGGTTCTTAAGGATGACCTGTTCCCATTCCTCTGGCAGGTTGGTGTCTTGTTCGGCCGCCCCCCAGCAGTGGGCCCATCTCTCCTGCTCCCTCAGGATCAGCCAGTCCCTCACGTGCCTAAACCTCACAGGAATTGAGCTCCCGGAAGAGAGCGCCAAGTTGTTATGCACGAGTCTGAGACACCCAAAGTGCTTTCTGCAGAGGCTGTCGTGAGTACCGTCTCTTCCCATGGAGCATCTCCATTTTAGGTCTGCGGCCACCTAGAGAAGAGCAATGGTAGTACTGGGTGTACAGGGTCACCCGTAGGGGACCTCCTCCTGAGGTGGACACCCGGTTCCCACCTCAGGTCCCAGGCAGGTGGCTCATGCGTCCCATCCTTCTCTCACTCCTGGTCCTTCATGACTGAGCCTCAAACACATGGTGAGAGAAGAAGAGGGGTCATGAGAAGGCCGGTAGCTGGGGACTCGAGGCTTTGGGGACAGCCAAGAAAATGGGACTTTGGAAATATCCTCCCCCTCTGACCGCTCGTGTGACACTTTGGCAGTCTGGAAGACTGTCACCTTACAGAAGCATGTTGCAAGGAGCTGTCCTCCGCCTTGATCGTCAACCAGAGGCTGACGCACCTGTGCTTGGCCAAGAATGCCCTGGGAGACGGTGGGGTAAAGCTGCTGTGTGAAGGCTTGAGTTACCCGGACTGCCAGCTGCAGGGGCTGGTGTAAGTCCGTGCTGTGTGTGCGCGCGTGCATGCTGGGTTCAAAGAGCGCAGGTGCAGGCATTTAATAGTCCCTCTGAGTGGCCCAGGTACGATGCTGGCAGTCAGATCTGGTGGACCTGACAAGAGGGTGTTAGGAAAAAAGTATAAGATGTAGAGTCAATATTCCATAGGGATTTGGGGGAGGTGACTGGTTTCCAGGTATGGGGTTTTTTAATGCACTTTTTTAAGATTTTATTTATTTGTCTGAGAGGGTGCTCCCAAGCGTGTGGAGTGGCAGGCAGAGGGGGAAGCAGGCTCCCTGCTCAGTGAGGAGCCCGGTACAGGACTTGATCCAAGGACTCTAGGATCATGACCTGAGCCGAAGGCAGATGCTTAACCGACTGAGCCCCAGGCGCCCCTTTGGCCTGTTTTTAGGACCACGTAACATAAACCCCACCCGCAGCTGACTGTATGTGGACTTACTGGCCAACTAGCTCGTTAAAATCCTCTTGTTAACACTGAAGTCACAGGACAGGTTTTGAGAAAGGAACGGAGCTGCAGTGACTATTTCTACTCAGATTCTATTCAGTGTCAGCATCTCCAGTGTTCTTGCCGTCGACAAGATCGCCTCGGACGGCAGCTGGCAGCATTTCCTATAAACTAGTTTTGATCTAGGATATGCCTTAAGGCACCCAGTATCCAAAAACTACTCAGTCACTCAAAGTTCTGTGGAGCATTCAGCTCGTGGTTGGAGAAAGGTGGAAGGAGGGGCTTTTACTCCCACTGTCTCAGCCCCCAAACACTGAAATAACATAAATTTCCATAAGAAATAAGATGCTGGGGCGCCTGGGTGGCTCAGGGGTTAAGTCTCTGCCTTCGGCTCAGGTCATGATCTCAGGGTCCTGGAATCGAGCCCCGCGTAGGGCTCTCTGCTCAGCGGGGAGCCTGCTTCCCCCTCTCTCTGCCTGCCTCTCTGCCTACTTGTGCGATCTCTCCATCTCTCTGTCAAATAAATAAATTGAATCTTTAAGAAAAAAAAGATGCCACCCACACACTAGCTCTGTCTTCAAGTTATGTTACATGTAATTACCCTCAAATCATCTAAACAGAAAAATAAGTCATGGCCAACATTTATCAGGCTCCTGAATTAATTAATATGTGCTGGGTGCTTTGCCAAGGTCTTGCCAGAGATTTCTTTCATTTGCCCCCTAGCCTTATGAAATAAGTGTCTGTCTGTCCAGTCTTCAGTGAGAAAGCTAAGACGTGGGCATTAAATGTCATCGTGTTTGCACCCTGTGGAGGTAGGAGCTACAGGTCAAGACCTCTTCTTTCTGGAGCTCAGTTCTGTTTTGTGAGCTGTCTCCCCACTTCACTAAGTTGCCAGAACTTGCTTGGGCCTTCCTCTGTTACCCCATAGTTCTGGGAGTTTCTATAATTGTACAAATGTCCAAGCCAAGGGGCTGTATCACAGCTTATCTCAAAGGCTGCCTGTGGGCCCACATCCCTGGATATATCACATCACTGTTTTTCCCTGGGCTCTGGCCACGTGACAGGGGGCCCTTGTGGGGGCCAAGGCTGATACCATCGCTTAGTGAGGTTCACTGAAACAAAAAGGCAGCCAAGTTGGTGTCCTGTTACTGCTAAAACAAATCACCACCAGCTTATCAGCTCAACACTGTTTGCGTCCTTCCATAGGCCAGGAGACCAGTATGCACAAGGCTGTGTTCCTTTCTGTGTTCCTTGCTCATTCGGGCTGTTGGTAGAATCTGCTTCTTTGTGGCTCTGGGACAGGGGTCCCTGCAAATGGAGAGCTGGCCTCATCCCCTAATGGCCACCGTGCTCCTTGGTTCATGGCCCTTTCCTCCACCTTCAAAGCCAGCTGTGGTGGGTCAAGCCCACACATTGAGCCTCTCTGCACTTCAGTGAGGAAGGAGTCCTAGGATTAGACTCAGCCCTTCTCTGCAGTCCAGGATAACTCACCAGGCAAGACCCTTGGTCTCAGTCTCGCCTGCCATGTAACGCGTGGGGATTAGAGCACAGACATCTCAGAGGGACATTATTCTGTCTAGGAAAGTAGCCAGTGATAATTCCAGCCATCTCTGGTTTTCTGCTATAGTAATAGTAAACCAGGGAAAGGCAAAAAAAAAAAAATGTTTTAATGGTTAAGAAGTCGTGCTGCTATCTTGTGTAGCTGACTTGTGGATATCCAGGCTCTAGGGCCAGACTTGTCCCGAGAAGAACTGGTGCCCTCCACTTCTACATACGGCCTATCTAGTAACTGGATTTGGGACGTAGAATTGGTCCCTTCCACTAACAGAATTTGCAAGTCAAGGCAAGATGGATATTCTCTGTCCCATAGTTACAGTAGAAATGATAAATACCACTTAGTTTCCTAACTCTTTCTGTAACCAATTGTCTTAAGGTTAAGGCTTAAAACAATGTAAATTCATTGTCTTAAAGTTCTGGAGGCCAGGAGTCCAAAATGGGTTTCCCTGATCTAGAATCAAGGTGTCCACAGGGCTGTGTTCCTTCTAAGATCTCCAGGGAAGAATCCGCTTCCCGGCTTTGTCCAGCTTCTAGAGATGGGTGCATCCCTTGGCTCATGGTTCCTTCCCCCATGCCCAAAAGCCAGCAACATTGTGTCTTCAGTGTCCTTCTGTCTGTCTCATCACCTTTCCCCAGGCTGACTTTCCTGCCCCTTCTTGTAAGCATCCTTGTGATTACATTGGCTCACCCAGATAACCTCCCCACCTCTGATCCTTAACCACGCCTCCCTATCACACACAACATCAAACACTCATACGGACCAGGGATCAGGGTGTAGACAGCTGTGGGTGCGTGGAGTGGAGGCGGGTGAGTGGGGCCCATATAATCACTTATGTAGCAATTCTAACTCCACCCATGATTTCATTTCCACATCTCATTGTCTGCAAGCTTGCCTGAAACCTGTGGCTTGAAGTCAACGAGCCTGGTTTGGGTCCATCTCCTCAGGGAGGACTCAAGTTTATTTTCTCTTCATGTGATTGATTTCTAGGCTTTGGTACTGTAGCATAACCAGTAGCGGCTGCAATTATCTGTCAACACTTCTCCAGCAGAATTCAAGCCTTACACACTTGGATCTGGGGCTGAATCACATAGGATTTACTGGACTCAAGTTTCTGTGTGAGGCTTTGAAGAAGTCAACCTGTAACCTCAAATGTCTATGGTAAGTTATGTTTATTTTTAACTTTAATCTTTCTCTAAAATATGTTAGTGTAGCGAATCTCCAGCTCAAATACAAGAGACTGGAACAAATCTGGTTGAGTATTTTGAAAATCCAATAGGATAGCAATTTTCACATTTTTTTAAATCCCCAAATTTGTAGACAACCGCAAAAGACTCCAAACAGCTAAATCAATTCTGACAAAGAACGAAGTGGGGGCATCACACGCTTTCTGATTTCAAACTATATTATGAAACCATAGTATCAAAATAGCATGGTCCTGGCATAAAAACAGATACATAAACTGAAAGAACAGAATAGAGAGCCCAGAAATAAACCCCACACACACAGTCAACTTGTCTTTGACAAGGGCATCGAGAATACTCAATGGGGAAGGGATAATCTCTTTAATGAATAGGGTTGGAAAAAGCTGGACATCCACATGCAAAAGAATGAAATTGAGCTCTTACACCATCCACAAAAATTAACTCAGAATGGATCAAAGACTTAAAAACCTAATACTTTCAAATTCCTAAAAGGAAACATAGGACATAAGCTCTTTCGCATTCATCTTGGCGGTGATTTTTTGGATATGATGCCCAAAGCAAAAATAAATAAGTGGGACTTCCTCAAATTAAAAATCTTCTGTCTACTCAAGGAAACAATCAACAAAATGAAAAGACAACCTACAGAAAAATATTTGGAAAACATAGGTCTGATAAGGGGTTAATATCTAAAATAGAAAAGGAACTTACACAATGCAATAGCAAAAAAATAAATAGATAAAAATGATGAGCAAAGGACATGAAGAGACCTTTTTTCCCAAATCAGACCAACAAATGGCCAACAGGGACATGAACAATAGTTCGGCATCGCTAATCATCGGGGAAATGGCAATCGGAGCCACCTGAGCTCTCACTTGATACCTTTCAGGACGGCTATTAGTAAAAAGAACAGAGATAACAAGCAGTGGGGAGGACATGGAGAACAGGGAATCCCTGTGTACCCGCTGGTGGGAACGAAAGCCAGCGTGGCCACTCTGGAAGCCGTATGGAGCGTCTAAAGCTAAAAATAGAAGTATCCTGTGATCCGGCAATCCCTCTTCTGGATATGTACCCAAAGGAAATGAAACGAGATCTCAAACAGATATCCACGTTCTCATGTTTATTGCAGCATTTTTCACAATGGCCAAGAGAGGAAACAATGTAAGTTGTCACCAACAGATGATGGGATAAAGAAGATGTGAGATATATACATATACATACAATGTAACATTAGCCATGAGAAGGAAGGAAATCCTGCCATTTGAGATAGCATGGATGAAACTTGAGAGTATCATGCTAAGAAGGAAAAGGCAAAGACAAGTACTGTATGACACCACTTCTGTGTGGACTCGTGAAGAGCTGAGCTCATAGAGGTAGAGTAGCGTGGTGGTTATCAGGGGTCAAAGGGCAGGAGGAAACGGGGTAGGGGGTTCAAAGGATGAAGACTTTCAGTTAGAAGATGAACGTGTTCTGGAGATCTAACACATAGCGTGGAGATTATACCTAATAATACTGTGTTCTATGCTTGAAAGTTGCTAAAAAAACAGATTTTTTTTCTTTCCAGTGTCCTTAACACAGTATTATTAGTTTTAGTTACACAATATAGAGATTCAACACTTCCACACAACACCCAAGGCTCATCAGGACAGGTGCCCTCCTTCCTTCCCCCACCCACCTCCCCTCTGCTGACCATTGGTTTGTTCCCTTGTAGTTAAGAGTCTGTTTATAAGAATAGATCTTAAATTTCCTCACCAAAAGAAGAAATTATGTTGGGATGGAGGTGTTAGCTAACACTACAGAGGCCATTATCTGGCAAGACATAAATGTACCAAATCAGCACATTTCACACCTTAAACTTACACAATGGTTTATGTCCATTATATCTCCATAAAGATTAAAGAAAGTCTCCAGAAACTTCTACTTTTCAGCAATAAAACATTGCTCTCAGTAAACAAGTTGTCCTCACACAAAAAATGGTGACTCTGTGAGCTGACAGGTATGTTAATTAGCTTGATGTGGTGATCATTTCAGTGTGTACATATATTAAATCATTATACTATACACCTTAAATGCATACAATTTTTATTTGTCAAGTATATGTCAGAGAAGCTGGGGGAGAAAATTCACTGGAATGGTTAAAGGAAGAGTTTCTAGTCTAGGTCATCCAAAGGCCACCTGTGGACCATGTTAAGGAAGCAACACTTATGGCATCAAGGAGTGGCTGCCCCAACACCCAGCCTCCCCGGGGTAGGAACTCGATACCGCAGCAAATGTCCCGTCCGTGAGCAGATAAATGGCTTCCCCTCAGTTCTGTCTCACAATCCTACGTGACTTAGGTACCATCACTCAGATACACTCAAATCTGGAAACTGACCTGTGAGGGACTCCCAGAGGGTAGCGGTTTTCTGGCCTCCACAGCACCTCAAGGCAAGGTGAGTCCTGGCGTCCAACCTCTGCCACATAGTCGAAATGCTTGTGCCTTTGAGAATCCCAACACCCAGGCTGTACCTCAGACCCGTCCAGTCAGGATCTCCACAAGTAAAACCTCTGGTTGTTACAATTCGGGGCAGGTGCCCCCGAGGAGGGCAGTGATGCTAATGATGACTGGGAGGGGCCTCTCTTAACCACTCATCCTACTGGTATAGTGGTATAGGGAAGTGTCCGGTGAGCCTTGACTTCTGGATGGTGTAAGCACAGTTATGTGTTCTAGGAAATGGAGTTGGATGCATCCACTGTTGGCTATGATAATGAAATATGTTTGCATGTTATTCGGTGTGCCCAGAAGAAGGTGTTAGATTTAACCTCTTCAAAATCCTGGGGAGTGCTTAAACACATGACCTATTCTCATGTGTGTGTGCATGTGCGTGTGTGTGCGTGTGCACACTCATATATACACAAACCCTTGAACATTTGTGCAACATTATTTGCTCAGAACAAAATCCTTTATTCTTTTTTTCTTTCAAATACCAAACCCAAACCTTTTTAAACTCCTGCTGCCATCTTCTAGAAATCTAGAATCTGATCTCCTACCCCCTCTACATCCTGGTAATATCTAGATGGTTGTAAAGCCTTCCATCTAGTCTGTATTCTGCCTTCTCTGTTCCCCTATGGTTTTCAACCAGGTACTAGGAATAACCCCTAAGGTGTAGCCCCTGTCCTGTTTCTGCTCAAAACCCTCAGTGTTTCCCCATCTCATTCCAAGTAAAACCTGCAATTTACAAGGGCCTAAGGACTTTCTGTGAGATGGCTCCCTCTTGTCTGTGACCTCCTCTCTTTCAGCTCTCCCTGGCTCACTCTCAGGCTGGCTACCTTGACATTGTTTTACACAATAATTTTACACAACCTCAGGGCCTTTGCACAAGCTATTTATCTGCCTGGGGAGCTCCTACTCCGGGTCTCTCTATGGTTCATTCTCTTCAACACTCAGGTCTTCCTCAACTGTTGTAGTGAGTGCCCCCCAGCTTCTCCCTTTGCTCTTCATAACCTTGTTGGATATGACACACTACATTCATCTGTTTCCTATTAGTACATGAGCTCAGAGGAAGGAGACTTCTGTTGTTCCTTGTTGCATTTGCAACACCCAGGAGTGTGTCTGTCACATAGGATGGTATCCACACACATCGGTTGAATCAACTAATTTTGTGTCTCCCCTATAGGTTGTGGGGATGTGCCATTACCCCTTTCTGCTCTGAAGTCCTCTCCTCTGCCCTTGGCAGCAATCAGAGCCTGGTGACTCTGGACCTGGGCCAGAATTCCTTGGGATATAGCGGAGTAAAGATGCTGTGTGACACCTTGAAACGTCAGCGTTCCTCCCTACGGACACTCAGGTATGATTCTCCTGCTGCTCACGGTGTTTCCTCCAGGATGGTAGGTTTGTAGGGGGGGCACAAACCACGGGAGTTTGTTGTAGGCAACTACAGCTAACATCTCGTTTTCATCCGTTGATGTTTGGTTGCCTTATAATTCTCCCATCGGTCCCTTCTGTTGCTTTGGCCAGTAAAACGAGTCAAAGGACGAGACCCAAACCCAGTCGGAAGCTAAGAAGCTGAACTGGGGGCTTCTCTAAGTGACAGAGAGTGATGGTGGCTGGCCGTTGTCATGTTAGAAATACCAAGCTGTAGCTGTCCTGCAGTGTTCTGAAAAAGCTGGTGCTGGGGCCATGTTGGTGACAGAGGTCTGGCGGTCAGTCCGCCTTAGAAGCTTGTTCTCTGGAGTGAGTCTGCTTTGGAATGAAAGGAGTCCGTGTGCTCTGTTGGTCATCAAAGCAAGCTGCCCCTGAGCTGTATTGTCTGCTTCTACCATGGGAACAGAGAACCCTACAACTCTCCTTCGTCTTGCACAAACTTGTTTAAATTCTCAGATGCCATGTAGACAACCTGTGGCTTGATATTATAATTATGTAGAAGAAACAGATTATATGTATATGAAACAGGGTAGCTTGCTATCAAAAGAAATGTGTAGACTCAACTTTGTTTGTTTTTAGCTCATTCTGGTGAGCTAGCCCTGTCACTTCCACATCAGCAAGTTTTAATCCAGCTGTAAAGACCTCACAGAGATAACACAGGAGCTGTTTCTTTAGATATTCTTCCTTGAGTCCTTGAATCTCAAGACGAGTGATCGGGAGTGGGGGGCTTCTTCCTGAATCACAGATCCTGGACCCGCTTGGAGAACTGGAGTCAGAATGTGGTTTTTAGTTCTTTGACTTTATCAGCTGCCCCATATCCTTCTGAGATGCTCTTTTAAATTAACCAGAGTCATTTTCTCTTGCTTGGTGACCAAGAGCCCTGCCATCACACCCCATTCATAGAGTAGCACATTTGTATGTGCAGGTGTGGCTCACGTCATTTCTTTTTTTTTTTTCTTCCTTTTTTTAAAAAATTTTTATTTATTTTTTTAAATTTCTTTTTTACTTATTTTTTTTTAATTTTTTATTTCTTTTCAGCGTAACAGTATTCATTGTTTTTCCACCACACCCAGTGCTCCATGCAATCCGTGCCCTCTCTAATACCCACCACCTGGTCCCCCCAACCTCCCACCCCCCGCCCCTTCAAAACCCTCAGATTGTTTTTCAGAGTCCATGGTCTCTCATGGTTCACCTCCCCTTCCAATTTCCCCCAACTCCCTTCTCCTCTCTAACTCCCCTTGTCCTCCATGCTATTTGTTATGCTCCACAAATAAGTGAGACCATATGATAATTGACTCTCTCTGCTTGACTTATTTCACTCAGCATAATCTCTTCCAGTCCCGTCCATGTTGCTACAAAAGTTGGGGATTCATCCTTTCTGATGGAGGCCTAATACTCCATAGTGTATATGGACCACATCTTCCTTATCCATTCGTCCATTGAAGGGCATCTTGGTTCTTTCCACAGTTTGGCGACCGTGGCCATTGCTGCTATAAATATTGGGGTAAAGATGGCCCTTCTGTTCACTACATCTGTGTCTTTGGGGTCAATACCCAGTAGTACAATGGCAGAGTCATAGAGAAGCTCTATTTTTAATTTCTTGAGGAATCTCCACACTGTTCTCCAAAGTGGCTGCACCAACTTGCATTCCCACCAACAGTGTAAGAGGGTTCCCCTTTCTCCACATCCCCTCCAACACATGTTGTTTCCTGTCTTGCTAATTTTGGCCATTCTAACTGGTGTAAGGTGGTATCTCAATGTGGTTTTAATTTGAATCTCCCTGATGGCTTTTTAAATTTCTTTTCAGTGTTCCAGAATTCATTGTTTATGTGCCACACCCAATGCTCCATGCCATCTGTGCCCTCCTTAATACCCACCACCAGGCTCACCCATCCCACACCCCCTCCCCCCAAACCCTCAGTTTGTTTCTCAGAATCCACAGTCTCTCATGGTTCATCTCCCCCTCCAATTTCCCCCAACTCCCTTCACCTCTCCATCTCCCCAATCCTCCATGTTATTCCTTATGCTCCACAAGTAAGTGAAACCATATGATAATTGTCTCTCTCTGCTTGACTTAATTCACTCAGCATAATCTCCTCCAGTCCCGTCCATGTTGATACAAAAGTTGGGTATTCATCCTTTCTGATGGAGGCATAATATTCCATAGTATTTATGGACCACATCTTCCTTATCCATTCATCTGTTGAAGAGCATCTTGGCTCTTTCCATGGTTTGGTGACTGGGCTCACACTTTTTCTGCCTACTTCATCACTTGTGCAGACACTGCTTGACTATGGGAACGAATTCCATGCTTCCAGTGCAGACCATGACCAACCTCCAACAATCATGAATACACAATTACGTTTGACCTTGGAAGGTCACGCTGAAAACATTTTGAAGCTCCTTGGCCCTTACTTTAAGCAAAGTTATTTTGATTGTGCTTCTAATGTATGTGAACATTGTGACATGATCACCATAATCAAGCTAATTAACACATCCATCACCTCATATAGTTGCCCTTTGTGTATGTGTGTGTAGTAAGAACACAAGGTCTACTGTCCTAGCAAATTTCAGGTATATGGCACAAAATTATTGTCACGGTGCTGTACATGAGACCTCCAAACTCATAGCTGAAGGCTTATTGCATTGATGTACTGTGAACCTTACACAGCAAAGAAAATTATTAATATGCTAGAAAAACTAGGGGCACCTGATTCGCTCCATCAGTAGAGTGTGACTCTTGATCTCAAGGTCATGAGTTCTAACCCCATATTGGGTGCAGAGATTACTTTTTTTTTTTTTTTTTT